ACTCCCTCAAAGAGGAAGTAGGTGATCTTGTATGGGAGTATCCCCCAGCATCCCTGCAATGGAACACAGACCGGAGCAGGACGAACGTATGGAAGAGAGACAGGAGGCAGAAGTCCTTACAGAAAGTGGCACAGCCAGAGCAGAAGGAGGAAGTACTGGGATGGTGCCTGAAGCTGGAGCAATGGAACTGGAAGCTAGCCGCTAGCCTACCAGAAGGAGACCAACTTCAGCAGCAACAGCGAGAACGAAGCTCGACCAGAGTATCCGAACCGCTCGTGCTTCCCAAGGTTGACCGAAGTGGAAACGCCCCTGCAACTCCGGCCAGAACCCGCCCGGAGGAACCTTCAGTGGCGACAACTCCTGCAACAGGTACGCGAAGCAAAGCAGAGAGGAGACAAGAAAAGAAAGCTGCCCGAAAGGAAGAGAAGCGCAACAAGAGAGCAGAGAAGTCTGCAAGGAAGGCCGAAGAAGAAAGAGCTGAGAAGGAAGAAGGAACCCCTTCAGCCTCGAAGACGCCAGTTCGAAGGAAGCTCGATGTGGCCATGGAGAATGGCGGCAGTATCGAATCTGTACTTTTGCTTGAACGAGAGTATGAAGCACTCCAGCACGACCCATCGCACAGACCGAACTTCTATTTGCTTATCGATACGATTATCTCGAATTTCCGCTTTATGCCCCGGACAGTATTCGGCCCCGCGGCAGGGGAAGAAGAAAGGGCTAAGCTTATCAAGCTTCGAAAAGAGGAAGATGCTGAAGCAGCTCAGCCGAATGTTGGAGCTGAAGAGCCAAATGAAGAATCAGTATCAAGGAAGCGTAAGCTTGATGAACTGGAGCAGAAGAAGAAAGCTCTGGAAGAAGAGAGCGCCAAGAAGCAGAAGTAACTTGAAGACGAAGCGAAAAGGATTAGAGCAGTTGAGGAAGCCGAAAAGCGTGCAAAAGAACTGCGACAGCGACAGTGCCCGCGAGTTACTGTACCAGCAGAGAAGGAGAGTTGGTTTGAAAGGAAAGCAGTTGAACTCGTCGAAAGCTTCGTGCAGAATGTTCCTGGACAAACGAAGAAGGCAAGAGAATGCGAGACCGCACACGCTGAAGCCTGCCGATCCCTGCAGAATGCTCAGGCGGACTTTATTGAATGCCCTCAACGGACCTCGGACTCAGCACAGGAGTTGCAGAAGAAGATGGGCTTGGCACTTGGAAGAGCCATTGAGCATGGTGAAGAACAGGCCAAACTGCGACTCTTTACTCTGGCGAAGCAACGAACGACGAAGCCTGAAGTTCCTAAAGTCAAAGCTCGCCCGCAAGTTCCCACCGTACTGCTGGAGAAGATGGAGAAGACCAGCAAGAAGGATGATGGTGGCAAGAAGAAGGACGAAGGTGGAAAGCCTACCAGCTCAGCAGCTGGACCGTTTTGGGGACGTCGCGGAAAGACCCAGCCACCTGAGGAAACACCTGGAAAGGAATGGGTCGAGCGTGTGTATGAGGAAGAATGGAAAGCAGGACGTACAAAGCAGAGTGACGAGGAATACTTATCCTGCAAGTACCACCCCCTCAGCCCGGAATGGCAGGAGAAGGTACAGAAAACTCTATGGAACCTGGCGCACCGGGGATTCCGCGTCAACCAGGACGGTGATCAGTCACCGTGCCAACCATACCCGTGGCAATTGCGCTCCCATCGGGAGTGGACAGAGCTCAATGAGGACCTGCAGAACCGGTTCGGGATACGCCTTATTTGGCGTGCCCAGGACTGTAAGGGCCGGTCTCGTGCCATTGATGAGTGGCATTGTTACCCCATCGGACGGGGTAGAGCTGACAAACAGGACCGTGAAGGGAAGCCGTACACGGTATTGGGATCTCTACCTCCGGGTAAGACGATGTGCTCAGTATGTTGGCAAGAAGGGCATTGGAAGAATCAATGCCGGGTCAAAGACTTGGTGTATGAGCTCTGGGAGCCTGCCCTCACTGTTTTGGTACCCAAGGAAAAGCTCAGGAAGTTCTACCCGTTGCGTAACATTGTCATCGAGAAGAACAAGGACGAACGGGACGAGTACAGTAAGTACTTTCCGGCAATTTCCTTCGTGGACTATGGCGCGATCTCGTCGCAGATCAGGAACCAGAACAGGAAGTATGCTGATGAAAAGCGAAAGAATCCGGACCTGCTTCCGGAGATTGAACCACCTGCAGAGGAGCAGGAAGAAGGATCAGTGCCGTATGCTGCATCGAAGAAAGCAGCTAAGCCTGGCAGCGAAGCGGTCAACTTGGAAGGCGATGAGAAGAAGCCCGAAAGCAAGGAGAAGTCCAGTGGAAAAGGAAAGCAGAATATCTGGACTGCGACCGAAGAAGAACAAAGTACTACGATGGAGAAACGCAAGTCTGACCTCCTGGACTTGCAGAGTTCAGCCAGACGTCGAAGGTCCAAGGTGTTGGACCAAGCCTCGTCTTTGCCACCAGGTCACTGGGAGGATCGCCCGAGAAAGGATGAGAAGCAAGAGAAGCAGCAGGACAAGGATGAGCAGAAAGAAGCTCTCCGGAAGAAGCTTGAGGAGCACCAGAAGCAGAAGCTGCGCGAGACGTTTGAGAAGCGTCTTGGAAAAGGATCGGGTACAGAAGCTTCCGCAGGATCCGCAGAGAAGAAAGGAGATCCTGGACCTGGACCGGATGTGGCTGGAAGCGACTCCACCACTGAGGAAAGTGAGGAATCGTCTCGCGAAGACGACCCTCCTGTTAAAGTCCATTCAGTCATTGTGGAGACCACAGACATGTCGTAAGTGGCTTGTACAGCTATGCAAGAAGGATCAGAGAGAAGGCTGTATGCCTACCGTGGCGCTTGAGCTACTTGTACTCCTATTTCTTCAGTTGTTCTGCAACTGCGCAAGGACGAAATTCGGACGAACTCTTCACGCAGACTGCGCAAGAAGAATGCAAAAAGGTGTGAGCCGCTGCACTTGTATGCGAAGGAAAGTAAACCGAATGCATGGTATTCGCTGGAGAAGGAAAGTAAGCCAGTGCAAGAGAAGCCTCAAGTTGTTGGTGTTCACTTTGTTGCTTGTCAGGACCGAAGCCATGGAAGCAACAGGCTCGCCGGGATCAATAGGAGCCGAGGGACCAGCAGGACCTAACATGCAACCGATACCTGAAGATGGACTAGGAATGACCCCCACTTCTGACATTCTGACGCAGTTGGTACACAACAGTCGTGTGACCACGAATGCTATCAACCAGTTGGCAGTATCGTCATCGTCAGCTAGTTCATCTGGATCGTATGAAGGAACCCTATCTAAAGCACTTGAAGGAGCTGTGAAGATGCTAGGACGCCCACCAAGTTTCGGTGGAGGAAAGACAGAGGTGTATGACTTCTTGGAGTTCAAGGAACAGTTGTACAACGTACTTGCATATGCCGAACCGAAGTTCACTGATGCTTTCAAGAGTCTTGAACAACTTGGCGATGATGAACGAGTACCTGAACGATTCACATCAGAAGAACATCAGACTATGTCAACGAAGTTGTATTCCTTGTTGAGGGTTAACCGGGACAACGAAACAGCATGCCCGAGACCCCAGTATTGCCTCATCAAGGAATGGATTTGCTTTGTGGAAGTCGTTGCTCAGGATCTACCAGCCAAGTACTCGAAGTCGAAGTCTAGCACTCATGCAAGCCATTCACAGCTATCCCAACTTTTCACCTGGAGTTAGCTCTGTAGCTCAAATCTCCAAATTGGAAGAACTGGTGAAGGATTATGAGAGATGCAGTGGAACAAGCTATCCTCGTGAAATACTTCTTTCTACG